TTCTCTCTCTCTCTCTCTCTATATATATATATATAGAGAGAGAGAGAGAGAGAATAAAGGAATAGGTATAAAACTATTTTGTAGCTTCATCACAAATGTTCTGTTTTTGCGGTTATTCTTAAATCTCAAAAATTCACATGTTCGATAATTACCAATAAATTGAACAACAATACACACATAGATTACAAATACGGATAAAAACTAACAAACATTTATAAAAAACTAGTAACAGATACATACAGTTTTTAAAACATGTTGTGAAATTACAAACTCTAAATATATTAAGGCCTTAGCCTAAAACTTAAGACTGAATCTTAAGTTGTTTTTTACTAAAAAAGAGGATTAACCTGCCTGATAAGAAAACGATATGGAAAAGTCCATTATTATATGTTTAGAATGTGTCTAGTGGTCAGCTTGTTGGACTGCAGAATGAAAGGTCCAAATTCGATCACTATCCGAACTTTCAGGTGTAGGCAAGTCATAAAAGTGCACAATTAAACCAATTATTTCATTCTAAAATCCCCTCTGGCTAGTATTTAAAAATTAAGGAAACTCTATCTGAAACGTAAGGGTCTCTGCACATCAGGTTGTAAATTGCACTTTTAATTCTGCATTACTATAAGAGATTACCTTCAAGTCTACTGAGTTAGAGGGGAAAAAACACAACAAAAAACAGCTTTATATCTCATCGAGGAGTGTATTATCGCTAAAAAATGAGTTTAAAAATACTTAGACCAATATCATGAATGTAGACACTGCAAATAGCTTTATATCTCATAGTGGAGTGTATTATCGCTAAAAAATGAGTTTAAAAATACTTAGACCAATATCATGAATGTAGTCACTGCAAACAGCTTTATATCTCATCCAGGAGTGTATTATCGCTAAAAAAGCATTAGGACAAATAAATTGATAGAGATAAAACCACTTTTTTCATCAGTAATTCATAATTGCACGGCTATTTTAAAATTCGTATTAACGTATTATCTGTAAATGTTCTAAATTCATCCCTTACTACTGATGAATTTGAGAGCAGGTTTTATTTTATACACGACAGTTTTGAACATTTATTTATCTGAAAGTCCGTTATTTGATTTGCATGCACAAGGAAGTAGTTTATTATACTCTATTATCCTCTTCCTTTGACGCTTGTTTCACGATTTGTATTCATTGCAGTCGAGTGTTACTTCAGGAAACGTCATATATCATACATTAAAGTCAAAATAACCTAATGAAATACGTCACGTATGACAGGAGTTATTCGAACACTAACTGATTTAATAACAGAAATAAAGTATCATTTTTTTTTAGAATTTAAGTCCATTACTAAAGATTTGTTTGTTATGGATTTCGCGCAAAACCACACGAAAGCTATCTGCGCTAGCCGTCCCTAATTTAGCAGTGTAAGACTAGAGGAAAGGCAGCTAGTCATCACCACCCACCGCCAACTCTTGGGTCACTCTTTTACCTATGAATAGTGGGATTGACCGTCACATTATAACGCCCCCACGGCTGAAAGGGCGAGCATGTTTGGTGTGACGGAGATTCGAACCCGCGAGTCGAGCGCCCTAACCACCTGGCCATGCCGTCACTAAAGAGATATCTAGTTTAGTCAAAGTTGCTTTGTGCTTTCACAGTGTTTGTTTGTTCTAAATATTCACGCAAAGTTAAACAAGTGCTACCTGTACTAAATGTTTCTAGTTTTGAAATGATACAAGAAGACAGCTAGTAAACAGCACTCACCAACGACTCTTTTTACAACAAAGCCACGGCATCAAAGTGTAGAGCGCGATTTTGCGGTAACGAGACGCGAGCCACGGACTCTCGAATCCACAATACGGTACACTGACCACTAGGCTTTGACCTACTTTCCATTCTCAGAATAGAAACTGAGAAGAGAAGATATAATTCCAGAAGTAAGAGGGTTTTTACTCTATAATGTTCCATTGAGTGTATGAAAATTTAATAATAAGCCTCTTATTTTATGTACTTAAAATAACACCATTTCTATTGGTCCGTAAAACATGTAGTAAAATTAGTTCTGTAAGTATTAGATAATTAAATAAAGTTGCCTAATTACCTTATTAAACTTTAATTCAGAAGTTTCTTTTTCTTCTCCATCTTCCTTCTAATAAACTTAAGTATTCACTTTGAAAGATTGATTTATGTTTGTTTGTAATTAAGCACAAAGCTTCACAATGGGCTATCTGTGCTCTGCCCA